TATATATATATAATATATATTTAGTTTAATAAATTTGTATTTTTTTTTAATGAAGAGAACACCATTTGGGCCAATGATCCGTGAACGTTTCCTCACCGCGGGATCAGCAGGTTATGTTACCCGGGACGCGTTTCGGACTGCACCGGAAACGAGCTTTGCTCTACAAAATTTGCTCTAGCGAACAACAACGTCCGTATAATGCTGTACGGCACATGAAATATGCAGATTTGGTCATTTCCGGTGCCGAAATCCAACGTCGACTGGCACATATTTAATAATCATATAAATATATAAATAAAAAAGAATTAGAGAAGTAGTGTTTTCAAGAACTGTAGTTGAGTGATAATATATTTTTAATATATTGGTTAACATTGTCAATGACAACCGTAGAGCCCGTCAAATATGGCAGCAGTTAACAAGCTGCGGTGGTGATTTTCAAACGGCGAAAATGAATAATAATAATGATGATAAGGTATAGATGTGTGGTGATGCTGCTGCTGCTGTGGCGGCGGTGAGCTGGTTTCGGACGAGACCGGAGCGATCGGCGACGAAGCCGTGGGGGTCATCGTGGTGGAGCTGAAGGTATGGCGCCTCAGAGCCCCCACGGAACCCCTGTGCTGGAGACTTTTGTGCGTGGTCAAGCTGTTCTTGGTCCGGTACGTTCGTTGACAGAACTCGCACACGTACATCGTATCCGACCGCTCATGTTTGTCCTGAAAGTGTCGCTTCAGCGAATAATAGCAACTAAACGTTCGCCGGCAGTACGGACAGTCTTGTGGTTCGTTGATACCGCCGTTGGCGGGCGGTGGTAGCGTCTGGTACCCTGAAAAATCGCAGAAAACGAATTATTCATTATGCAGTTTTGTAAATTCAAGGTACAGCGTAGACACGAATATTCTAATATATGATTAGTCGGAGTAGTTAAAAATAAAACATTTAATCGATTTAGATGTAAACAACTAGATTTTAGCGCCTACTCACCTTCGAATATTGAATACTAGAACTTAACATCGGAATGAGAGGTAGGAGCTGGGGGAGCATGGTGTGGCGGGGGCGGCAACAACATGGTGGGCCTAGTTTTGTGATACGTGTAGATGTGCGTCATCAGGGAGTTTCTGGAACAGTACACCCGTTCGCAAATGGCACACCTGTATTCTTCCTGTCTGGATGCGTGCTTGTCGGCCACGTGCCTCTTCAGACTCGCCTTGGAACACAGCACCTTGCCGCACGCCAAGCACGGGAATACTTTTTTCAGTCCTGCGCAACACGTTCAACGTTAAAATTACTTAGGCACAACGTACGAGCAGCACAGGCGCTGCCATATGCTAATTAATTGTACATAACGCATTAATTGTTGTATAAGGTCAGATACATTACGCGTACGAAAACCGGTTCGATTGGCAAACGTTTTCTGCTTCCAATTAAAATTGTTTTACCACGTAGCGCTTGTAGAACCACCTGATTCTGTACTAATTTTATTCGCAACACGCGGCCATTAAAACGCCACAGATAACATGTTATTCATTGCATCGTCGATTCGCTGGTTTTGGGCTAATCAATACACAAATTTATGTATAGATATTATTGATGTTAGGAACCCTAAGTTTTGGGAACGACCCGACACTTTGATTTTTCAGTCGAACCGGATTTAATCGAATTGGACCATCAATTTTTATTATTTTCAGGTAAAACATTTTTTATATCAACATTGGACAAATGAAACGCGATATTTGATTAGTAACAAACAAATTTCGCGTTATGTATTATCTTGTAAATCGAACTAGTACAGTTCCATTTACAAGGAAAAAGTTTTAAGGTTTTTTAAGATTTTAGAACTAAATCGAACTCCCCGAGTTCGGTTTAAAAATCGAATGGTTCAAACATCATTATTATATTGTATTTAAACGCAAATCATTAAGCGCTACAAAGTATACCATTAATTTAATTTTTTTTTTACTTATTCGACACAAAATAGATGAATAGTAATCAACACGCTTAGCCTTGACGAAAAAAATTCTTACATTCCATTTGGTTTTGTTTAATGAACGTTGTTAATCATTATCGTACGCCACAGGGACTTGTATTGGTCCGACGATAGTAATGAGTCACAAAAGCGACCAGGGCCTGCAGTGGAAACATAGACTATAATTAAAACTTTACCGTTTTACAATTTAAAAAAAATAATTTCTTCGCTTAACTATTCAGACCAATTACGCGCGTAGAAATTTATAGTTGTGCGTGGGCGTGTTAGGGTTTCAGCACCGAAAAATAACTCCATGATGATTTGTCTTTAAACATTTTTCACAATAGGCAAATGTTAATCTAATAATCGAGTTATCTGTTTTAATGTTCATGATTTATAAACGCTAAAACAGATGAGAGATATAGAACGGCATTTTGAGTTTTTACATGTTTTAATTGATTTTATGCAGTTTGGCGAGAATAAGAAGTGTTGACGACTCTCTCTCCCTCCACCGAGAATATTTCTATTTAGAAACTTTTGTACATAGAAAAGTCGTTTGTATATTAAAGAATATTCGAGTCTATTTATCATATTTTAGATTATTTGTAAAAAAAAAAAATGATTTTCTCAATCGTTATTATTATTTGTATTTGTAATAAGAATTGATCGTTTGTGACTAATATTATTTAAAATTAAAATCATCAATTTCAATTTAATGTTCGTAAATACCACAATTCTATCAAATATTTAAACCGGATCAACCGAAGAAGCCACACGTTTGATAAAAAATCGTATTAGGGAACTCGAAAGATAATATAACACGATAAGTCTTATTCATTCGTCTCTTGTTATTTTTATATAAGAAATTTCTATTTTGTTTTTAAAAATACCAATTCATAGTAACAGGGATAAACGTATACACGTGTAGTTGACTGATTCGATTAATTTGAAGTATCCATAAGTTACTGTCATGTTTTAGGAAGAAATATTTGTTGATAAAAATGTCGCTTATGTCAATTAACTTGCAAACAGTCGATACGTCGTTATTAAATTTTATGGATTATTAATTAAGGCACTCAGAAACTAAGCAGATTAACTCTACTTTTTCAAAAGTATTCAATTTATTAATCCAATCATGGTATTATTATTATTATTAAAAAAAAGTGGTAATAAAAGAATGGCTGGATTAAATAAGTCTATACATTTGAAAGTAACTTGAAAATAATTGGAGTCAATCGCCTTGGCTCTAAGCACTATTTGGTAAGTTCATAGATTCACTACCATAAAAACGATAGTATTTATTTTATTTAAAAATCGGTATATAACACAAGTTTATTACATAATTTTTTCATTGACGAGAAATAATTTTAAAAGTTCCTTGGAACATCAACCAAAATAGATAAATAATGATAAATTATTTTACTTAATGAAATATAAATGTGTTATTTGCATTGAATATGTAAAAGTTTTCATTTCAAGTGTAATTGTATGGAATTTACTTTTTATACTATATAAACGTATATACACATTTAAACATATTTTGAAATGAAATAATATTGGTTTTTATCATTTTTTTTATTTAAATAGAAAACAATATATTTTAGTAGTTTATAGGGAATATTTTGACTTTTTTTAGTGCATATTAGAATAATACTTAAATAGTTTTAAAAACATAAAATTTCGGTCTATATTAAGGAAAGACATTAGACCGTTTTGCGTTAAAATTATGAATGTTCCTCATTTTGTCACTCTCAAATTTAAATATTCTCATTCGGAGAGGTTGCTACTAAAAATATATTTAATTTTCCATTGAATCGAATACTTGGAGTGATCAAACAATGAATGATTTTATTGGCGCATATTCTTTTTTGAATTACAAAAATATAATCAACGCTCGTTAATGAGTTGAAAGAGAAAATAAATAATTCAAAAATTGATTTCAACAGATATCAATTTGGGCCAGACGTTTGCAGAGTCAACTATTTTAATGACGTTACTTTTGTTTTTCGGTGAAATTTATATTAATTAATTCTTTTAATTATTCACTTTGTGAAACGAGAAAATTAATTTATTCAACTCGAGGGCCTTTGAAAAAGTTTACTTTTTTTTTTATCTGTGCAGATAAATATAGAAATTATCTATTTGGCAGTTAGAATAAAATGTATGCCTTTGCATTGGTACACGTGCAGCATAGATGTTTAAAAATATAACACCACTTTAGTGAAACTGGAAGCCGAACAACTGTTCTTGAAAAACAACATTTCCGAACATCAAGTCAAAATATTAAGTCGGTCGGTCAGTGAAGACCCGTCGGAATTGCGAGTCTCGGAGAGCAGGTGACAAATTGAAATTATTAATAGAGTGCCGAAATATCGTTGACCGAAAATAAAACAGAACTCTTTGTTGTCGCCCGTTCCGTACTTTGATATCAATTTATTTTACGACCATCGCGTTTTATTAGGTAAATTTATAATGTGCCGACACATCACAGACGTTATCGCAGGGAAATTACCCGTATGTATATATCTGATATGTATATATCTGATCCATTAGAGATATATGGACACCATGACCTACCGAAATACACGTGTCGGTAGCATCGGCACGCGCTCAACGCGTGAAAACACCAAAACTGTGTAAAAAGCCGGTCGCAGTGTTCGAGTGTTTTGTACAAACGCGGAGAGTGGCGGAAGGACGCCACCGAGTGGAATGAGACAGCCGTATGGAGCAGCCAACGGACTTGCCGCCGAGTGTCCAACAATTGGCCTTATCGAATTCTCCGCTCGGAGCCCTTTAACCTTTTCAATCGTTTTGCGTCTGTTATAAATATGCCGTACGAATAATGTTTGTTTTCGGGCAAACGTTTAAAAAACGCCACGGTGTAATCAGACTTTAATAGCGTTTTTCAACCCTAACACAATATTTTCGTTATATGCCGACTGTAATAATGTCGGCCACTACGAACTACACTCGAAAATAATAAACGTTAGTAGAAAAAAAGAAATTTGTTGATTTTGCGTGCAACAAGCGCGTAGTTAGCGATAAATAAATAATAATACATAACAATTACAATAAAAATAATAATAGGAACGAACATTTGACTTTGTTTTGTTTTTTCCCCGCAATATTTTCGTTACGGACCAGTTTTCCGTGAGACTTGACAAATAGATGGGTATCGAAGGCGAGCAGTGAAATATGCAAGTTGGTTTAAAAATAGTATAAAGTTTATACGAGTTAGAGAATTCCGGCAGGTGGCGGCCGTAACAAGATCGAGATTTGCATCGTTCATAAAAATAACAAAACGATTACTATTTAGTTTTTTCTTTAATTTTTACAATAGTCGATAAAATCAATTTGAAAGCCGTTTCTAATCGACCGAGATGATAACACATTCATTTAAACAAATTTTGTTTTCGTTTCACGTTTGATATAATACTGTTCGGAATAACAGACGAGGAAGAAAAATGAGAAATGTAATTAAAATAAATATTTGCGTCGCAGCAGTCGATTGGCGATAACGACGAGAGAGAAGAGTGTGTACGAAAAGTGTAAAGGCGAGTCGGAAGCGATTACAGTCTGATGTTGTTCGTGGAATGGACACGAGTGGCAAGGGAAGTGTTAAAGACCATCACTGTGAACCCAACAAACGGGTGTTTACCATCGGCTACGCTAAAAAACGTTACGTGGTATCACTACTGATAACACGAGTCTCATAAAATATTTTTTATGCAACGTGCGTTTGACCGCAACTTGTACTACGTTGGTGTAGGATTCGCGCGATGAGAGCCACATCCGATCAGAGTCCGGTTAGACTTGGTGGCAAAGTTCGGAAATGGAGCGTACATAACATTGATATCGATAAAAATTAAATACTCTTTTAAAATCGTTTTATGCATATCATTTTTTATTATCGTAGTAATTTCAATACAAAAAATAATATTATACGCGACACGTTCGATTTTTGCAGCACTACCTGCTTACTATGTATTGTACATAAAACTTATATACTATGTACATATTTACGGTATGTATTTGATTAAAATAATAAAAAAAAATTACAATTAAAAAACAACAAAGTCGGTAAATACATTTAACTTGTCGCTAAAAGTTATAACAATACAAAAATTATAACTGAAACAGACACTCTATTTCACTGCGGTTACATTCATCATAACTCGGCAAGTACTAAAAATGAGAGTGCTAACTTGTTACATGCACAGACACAACGGCCTCAGTCTAAGTTATCCAATAATATATATTAGAATATGTACTGTTACGACTCCTACTATGACAAGTACACAAATCGATATAAGAAAAAAAAAAACATTGAATATAATTATAGTGAGATAGTATTTTTTTTACAGTTTCAAAAGTCTCAACACTACTGGCTTAAAACTTAACCACTACAAGATATTACTAAGTACTTCAATAAAATACATTTGATTTAGTTCTCTTTTTTTTTTCAAAAAAAAAAAAATATATATATATATATATTTATATATATTATTGCACTTTTACAGTCACTACGGACGTATAACAAATGTAATATACTTCTCTAAATTAGCGTTACACGTCGTCATCATAATATGTTATAATAAAAATAAATAATTAGTTAAATGTTTAAAAATAAAAAATAGTATAATACTGATATAGGTACTAACGGGGTGGTTTGCGTTGTCCGGTGCGAACAGGGTGGCCAATTATCGTATTCTGGTGGCGTTCCTCCGCGACGTTTGTCAGTTGTTGATGTTGTTATTGTTGTTATACCACGCGGTGAGCGGGGGCAAGTTCTTGGCTGCACCACCGCCGTTGGTCGGCGAAACGGACGCCTGTCCCGCACCGCGTGCGCCCGAACCGGCGGCGGTAGCCGTGGCGGCCAAGGAGGCCTTGTACGCCTTTGGCTTCCGGTGATAAATACTCTTGTGGTTGTTGAGACTGTTGAGCGTGCGGAATACTTTGTTGCACACGTTGCAGACGGCCGAGTGGAGAGGCTGGTTGTGTTGCTGTTCGATGTGCCGCTTCAACGTCAACCTGGTGCTCAGGCGCTTGCCGCATACGAAACAGGACAGCGTCTCCGCGCTCCCTCCGCCAACTCCTCCACCAGCCTCTGACCAGTCTGCAGCACAATAATAACAGCCGGTCACTCCTTTTGTTTTTCTCCGTTTTTATTTATATTTATTTTAATATTATATCATGTAATTTTTTTTATCCATTTATATATTTAAATATATTATATGCGTGTGTGCAGTTCTAACACTTTACTATCGTACGGGATGTTCGTTTGTCCGGAGATTATAACAATGCCAAATTTATTTTAAACAGATCACAGTAGTATAAATTTGTATTAATTGTTAAGTAATAACTATGTGCATAACATCATTAATTGTTGTGCATGATAATGTAACATTATTGATATCGCAAACAAACAAACAAACAAACACACACACGCGCGAGCGCCCGATCCGCAGATGACTTCATTTAGTTTGTTATTCTGACGGAGAATCAGAACAACAATCTAGTACAGAGCACAAATGAACTTTAAGCGTTGAGTAAGTTAAAACGGCCGCGGAAATGTTGTAAAAAATGTAAAACAAAAAAAAAAAACGAGACATTCATTGAGGCTCCCTCTCTAGATGTATTAAGCATACGCGATTTTAAATGGGATAGGTCAAGCTTTAGTCACGCAGAAGTAACAAAGGCGAAGAGAGCAATAGGCCATTCGACTCGGAAGAAATGTTTTTCACTAGAAACACTACTAAAAATATGACTTTAACTTGGCGAAATCGAAACGACACATCTGACATTATGTGAAATTTTACAGTTAATAAATAAGAAATGGACATTTTCGTAATTCAAATAGTTTTATAATTATTATTTTTAACAGACTTCATTTTGAGTTTAAGTTGAAAGTTGTCATTGTATCGCTTTGTATTAGACTCGGCGGATAATGTGCGTGGGTCAATAGAAAAAAGTAAATTTTTCATACTACGAAATGGGTTATAAAATGTGCTACACAAAAATCTGAGGGCAAGCGGATAAATTTGACTATAGTAGTCAAATTTTTTCTGTATAATATATTATAAAACGCAATTTAAAACCAGTTTTTACATTAAACGCGTGACATTTAAATAGAAGAATACCGGATTAATTAATTACTGCGAATCTAGGATTTCAGAAAACCTCCACAACAAAACATAAAAAAATTCGAAACGAAATACGTATGAAAAATAAATTGAACGACGTTTTCTGTTTAATGAAACCAACTACAAGTGACCTAAATGACTTTATACGTGTGTATACTGTATTATTAGTTTCAAAAACATATCGTAAAATTTTTTATTTGTAAATGACTAAAGCTTGATCGTAAATGGGAAATCGGTTAAAACAATCGCGGGTTCTGCTACGAGACTTATTTTTTATTTTAACTGTTTTACTATTTGTGTAAATTTAAAACCAAAAATATTTTCGTTCAAATATCACCGGTTTTGTGTTGAGTTACCAAGAAATAATACAATGAATAAATTAAACGGTTAATGATAATTATGTTGAGCTGGTCTTACCTTGAGAAGTGGAACCTCCGAGAGCTTCTATCGCGTTAGTGTGGTTATGATTGTTTAGACCTACAAAAACAGAATAATAATCATGAAAATCAATTACATAAAAAACCAAATTATAAATCAAAATGTTTTTTAAATAATTAGAACACTCAGGTGCAAATATTTTATTTTGCTTTCAACACACTTGAAGGACGACTTACAGGCAATGACGGTCATATAATCCTACTAGTGGCGTTTTTAAAGTAGGGCACAATGGCATGTGCTTCCCCATTGACCGTGCTGTGCCGATAGAAAAATGTCTGTTGACCTTTTTTTGCTCTTGATCAGATCAAAATAAGTAAAAAAATGTGTACGGTAGTTTGTTGTCAATCGAAACATTTTATGTGTACCCCACCTAATAAATTAATAAATTTCTATACGCGCCCCTAAGTCTTACTTTTTATTATACAACCGAACGCAAAATCTTCAAACCGCATTCGCTAATTATCATTGAGAATATTTGATAAATATTTCCAAGCGGAAATACTTGGAGTACGATTTTTTGTCATCTAGTGGTAATGTGCAAATGAAAATTAATTTTACACAGAAACTATTCGAGTTATTCAAATGGAAATTGTTCGTATAATTTAAAATGAATATCTAATAGGGAACAATGAATAAGCTATTTAGAAATGTAGGTAATTATGGAATTAATTAAAATATATTTGGTAAAACGTGGAATATAAATATACGAATAGAGCCTCGTGAAAGTTCAAGAAAAAAAATTTTGACAGAATAATAAAAAAATTTCCACTCGTCTATACTCATTTGTCTAATGCGCACTTTGAAAAAATAAATAAAGAGAAAATGAATTCACGATAAATCGAAAAACTAGTCGTCGTTAGCATAACTAGACACGACTCTCTATTGGCATATCTAAATTCATGTCCTAGCGCTCTAAAGAATACCTAAAATCGATACATGCTTGGCCGCAGGAATCGATTAGTCAGTCGGCATCCAGCGATATTATAAAATAATATTTACAATTAAAAACAAAAAACGATACAATAGGTTTTTTAGTGTTTAACGTTTATCTAATAGAAGCGATTTCAACTTTTGGCCTTGATGTTAGGAACGGCTATTTTTGCTATAGGCCGCACAAATATGTTTTTAATTGTTGACTTGGCCGTTCGTCAACGCACTACGACGATTATAATAAAAATTTTTTAGCACATCCTAAACGAAATAGTAGTGTCTGTTGAGTTTTTCATGGTTCGTAATCTTTTTGAATATTAAATTTTGAGGGTGGGCCAAAATTAGGAACCGGTTTTTCTTAAAATTCGCAACGAGGCACTGAACCGGTGGAGCCCCCGGCGGTCGTGTGGCTTTTACACGGCGGTTGCGACCGCGTTCTAATCCGACATGGCTCGTGTACATGGCCTCTTCGTTTTTTAAATATGGTTATTACCGAGATTAACGTCGCATCCGAATTTTCTTTATCCTTCGACGAACTTCCCTAGGACTAAAATAGTGATCACCTACGGAATATTAAAAAACCGGTCTTTCGCCAACAGTTTGAATGACGAATACCGAAATCTGACGCACACGCCTGGATCCTATTATTTTTTACGGAACCTAACTCAACGTTTTTTGAGTTTTGGTCGTTGGCCGAAATTTTGGCGGTCACAATTTACATACCGAAATTATAACGTATGCGAATATTGTGTAATTACCTGCTAATGAGTCGGCGGCCAGTGCGGCGGCCATGCTAAAGTTGAACGTGGCACCGGCGGCTGCGAAAAATTTGCTGTCTAGGTACGAATGGTGACTCTGATAGGAAGTATCGTCGGGTTCGGACATGCCGATCGCCGGATGGACGCCAGTGAAATCGGCTGCCGAATCGTTGCTGTCGTCCGCATACATACTGTTCGCACTCGTGTGCTCCGTCGGTTCTGCTTTGACTTCGGGAGACTTACGGGGCACCATCAGGTTCTGTGCCATGTCCTGTAGTTGAAGCGTAGGCGTGTTCTGATTCGTTCGCGAAAAGTCCATCGGCGGCTCGTCGTTGTTACTGTTGTTGCCGTTGCTGCCGTTGGCCGTCCCGCCGCTGTCGGACCGTTCGTCCGGATCATCGTCGTCGTTGCAATTCTGCCGACTACCAGTCGAGCTCGGACTGTGTTGAGATGACCTCTCGGACAGGTCCATGCAGCCTCCGGACGACACTGTTTTTGACCTCTTTAAGGGTATCGGAGAATTTTCCTGAAAAACGAAATTGAAAATCCATTTAAACCGCAACAATAATTATAATTATAATGAAATATGTAACATACATTTTTTTTATCGACAATAAAATTTACAAACTTATAAAATATGTCTACACCAAGTGTCTGATGTGTTATGTGATAAGATAATTTCAATAAGATTGAAAGGTAAGTTTTATAAGACTGACACATGGTTCAGAGTGTTGGGCGTTTGACAAAAGAATAGAGCAGAGAATGAGTGTAGAAGAGATAATGCTTAGTTGGATAAGTGGAGTGGCTAGAGAATATAGGATAAGGAACTAACATATATGAGGGAGTATAGGTGTAGCGGCAATCGTGGATAAATTGAGAGAAAATAAACTTAGATGGTACCGTCATGTTATGAGGAGAGAAGAGGTAGAGGAAGTCCAAAAAAGATATGGAGGGAGTTATTGAATGCAATATGAGGACTGCCGATGTATGTGTAAGTGATGTGGGAAATCGTGTCAAGTGGAAGTTTAGGACAAGGGTGGCCGACCCCAAGTAGTTGATAAAAAGGCCAAGAAAATAAAAAAATAAAATATGTCTACACGGCTTTGGATATTGTGCAGTTCTTAAAAAAAACTGTTCAAAATAATAATACATTGTGTTATATCCATTTACGCAACAGTATTAACATTTAAGGTTCTACAGGTTAAGTTTTGACATACTAATAAAGCCTAGTATTAAAAATGGTAATTTCCAGTTTTTTTTTCTAGGAATAAACAGGTCAATGACTTTAATTTCGTATATACAGTTTGTGTACATTTATTTTTTGAAAATGCATCATTGTAGAACATATTAATAAACTAACTGGAATTAGGAATCTAGTAAGGGAATCGGCGGAAGTGTATAATTAAATTCTTTGAGTGGTTTGCTATTTAACAAATTCTAATTTGGTTAAGCGTTTATTGAAAACTTAGTACCGGGTCATCTACTTTTGATTACGATTATGTTTGAATTGGAAGGTTCGATGATAATAATCACGACTGGTTTTGATAGATTCATATAAATTTAGCTACACACAACGGATATTATTATTCCGTCACGTTGTTTTGTGAATGTGTTATAAAAGCGGTTGATTTAAAGTAGTTGAATCGGTTTTTTATAACACTGCAGCGATTTCGTTTGAGTATCAAAACAGCTTTGCTGGATTACAAAATTAGAAACATGTGTTTAGGCTGACAAACAGTTGAAATATGGCTCAAAAGTAGAGATAATTAATAAAAATACTTCAATTGAAATAATCTGCAATTATGTTAGACATTAATAGGCCAAGTAATTTTAGAAAAATAATAATCTCTGCGGTTTTCAAAATAAAAGACCGAATTCAGAGCTATTTTTTAAAGTTACAATCGATAATCGACATTTAATGAATAATAAATAAACGTGTTAATAGTTGATGGGTTGAGATTTTTCTATATTGAAAATTTATTCACACAGAAAAAACAGATTTAGTCTGACGAAAGTTGACTTGTACAGCAAACGACCAAAGTAAGACGTGATTTTTGATGAAAATATATTATTAAAAAAAAAAAAAAAAAATGAAAAATCCTAAGAATAAAATATAAAAATGACGGATTGATACAACTTTTAACATTTACAATGCTCGACGCTAAACAGTTTTAAATTAAAAGGTTTCGTTTATTTATTTATTTTTAATAAAAGACCAAAGCTTTACAAATCAGGTCACAAAAACAAATCTCGTCGACGAAAATAACAACAAAAGCCAACGCCGGTGACCTTTGAATGGTTTTTTTTATAAAGAAAATTAAAGCTGTCGTATTTTCGTAAAAAGAAAAGAAATGAATATGACAAGTTAACGATATTTTTCCCTGCCAGCATTGGACTCGAGATAGCCCAGGGCTTTTTATGATTTCGCAACGTTTTTTATACTGACCGTCGCTGTGTTTGCGGAAAAGTTTCGCTTCCGGTTACACGGCCACCCTCAAAATTTCAACTCAGCTGTCAGTGACGATCGTTGCATATTTACAATACACAACGGCGAAAACGTTTTTCTCACAGCCTCTCGCTTACATAATGCCGTTGCAAATTGCATGGCGTCACCCTGACAGCGGCAAGCAGAACATCCTTAACTTCCGTTTCGACAACACCTTTTGTGCGAAACACGTTGTTAAGGCCCTCGAGGACTTTGCGATCGACAAAGTTCGAAAATGAAAACTGCATCGCGCTCTGCGGGGTAATGTATGAAAAGGAAAAGCGATAAGTTACACGCGTCTACAGGTCTCCCGTTCCTCACAACAGCTTTATAAATTAACGCGGCACTGGCCGCATTGTTTTCCCGGCGATAAAAACGTCATAATAACAATAATTGATACAAAACATCACCACCACTGTGTAATTTAACGGTTACGGCTTACAAGCGAGTTAACACTTACTGCTTTTCCTTTTTTTTCATTCCAAGACATTCGGACTCGGATTAAACGACCCTGTTTTTTTGTACTAAATTCATACCGTTTACATTTTAACTACAGCAACATTGTTGTTATGGTTGCGACTTTAATCGGTGCCCTCTTGTTCGGATAGCGCGTGTTCGCAATTTTCTTCTTGTTAAATCTACTTCAACGTCTTTCAGGCATAACCCAACTGTGAACACATCGACCTTTTATGTAACCGCACATCTTTAGGCGCACGACCTAACCCATCGTTTATTTCATCACCTCTTAATTATTGTACTGAAATCACCGCGTTCAATGTTGTAGATTGATTAATCGGCCCATTGATAATCTCTCGAAATCACTTTATATTGAAGATATTTGGGGCGTTATCGATACAGATATTTTATTATTGATACTTTTTTACCGGTGTAATATTTACCCACCCGAGTTGATTATAGAGAAGACGTCAATAATTTTAAACGATACTACGCTTATGAAAATAAACGCCTACTGCCCTGTATGATAAAAACAACGTGTAAAATCCGAATATGTTGACTGCAAAAAAGTAAATATGATGTACAATCAACAAACATAAATGTATAATAGACGGAGATAACAAAAACAAAACATTTACTCTGGCACTGAATTTATTCATTTCACACCAATGATATACCTTATTAAAATCATGAATATATTGGTCTTTTAAAAATATCGACGTTGTTAATGTTAATGTAGACATTGATGTGTTGTTTTTTATAAATGTACTAAAAAAAAGGTATAATATCTTTAAATTGAAAAATCCTATATAATTAGCAATCAGAATGAAAAGCTACACTTCACTATTTTGCAATAGTTTTTTTCTTCCTTAATTACATTTTAATTGCTCATTAAATTGTATAAATAATCTGACTTTGGCAATTTTCTAAATAAACAAAACCTGTTTCGAAAAGCAAATTAAATGCTATTTGGTATAGAAAATAACTAGTTAGATTTTTGCAATAAAGCACATAATTAGTTCTTTTTGAATCTTAAAACCAAAAAAGTTACCAACAGTGTACAATTGATATATCTATTTCAAAATGATAATCATAATAACTTAGATCAATAAATGTATGGATATTAGAAAAAAAACACACTCTTTTCCTTTACCAAGGCAAATTAATTATTTTGATTATTATGTAACACGTTACATAATAATGTAACGACCTTATGAACATTATTCACATGAACATTTCATCCATGTGATAAATTATAATCTTATTTAAACCTAATTTAAAACAGAATAGATAACTCTAAAGGCTAAAATTTCGAATGTGTGTTTTTTTATACTCTATTTTAAAATTAGCAATTTCAAAATTCGTATCTATTAGTTTTATGTTAATGTGTTTTTAATGCGTGTCTAACTCAACATAAAATATATTGAATATAAAAAATGATGTTCTCATTTCGTTTGCACCAATTAACTGGACTATTGTAATTTATAACTAACCTTTGAACGAGGTGAAGGTACGGACGACGGAGATTGTTGAGGTATACCTTTTCTCTGCCTGACTTGTGGGGACAGTCTACCCTCGGTGTTGTTCTGAGCAACGGGCGACAGGAAAGAGTTTTCGGGCGCAGTCACAGCCGGTGGAGTTTCTGAGGATTGTCTCGTGGAATGCTGTATTTATATAAACAGGCACACAGAACATGTTATCAAAGTTTTTATACTATTAATCTAGCGAATCATCTTGTATTTATTGTAAATAACACTACGAATAATTATTTATACTACATTATACGTACGTCGTTTGCTGACGTTTCGGACGGTTGAGTGAGGCCACTGACCCTAAGTACTTCGGCGGTTTTAAGGAAAGAACTGAGATTCCTCTGATGTACGTTTACCTCGCCGTGGTAGATGAACTCCACGAGGGCTTGGAGATCGTCGAAAACGACGTCTTGCAACACTATCACCGGGTGTTTGCATGGCGTACTCTGCAACGATATAAAAAATAACAATTACCCACGTGCAAGCCGCGTGTGCGTTTCGGCAGATGACCACGTACTTTTAAAAGTTCTTTGAAGTATGGACTGCATGCGGACAAGACGACTCGGTGCGCTTTCAAACTTTTGCCGTCACACGCTAACGTCACGTCTATAAAATCTTCATCGTCCCTGAGATTCTCGAACGCTGTGGTTATACTGTTCTGGTAATTGTTCCAACGCAGACAAAAATGCTGTAGATCGCCCATCACGCGACGGGCTTCGGCTGACACTGTCCCGCCTTCAACAAAACAATAATTGAAATTAATTAAGGAATATTATTATAATTATAACATGATCTACAATTAATTATCGGCGAGAAGATATCGATATCTTGTTCCATTAACAACCCCAGAATTGTATTTTAATTACATTATCCTAATGATCTATTAAAAAATATTCATGGCGAATAAATAAACCGAACAAATCAAATCCAAGGAATTCGTTTATTATAAAGTATTGCGTAGTACTACTCTTGAATTTCGGGAAAAAGAAAGAGCGCGTTGTCAATGATCGAAAACCGCGGGAAAGCCACGTTTTTGAATTGCCGGTGGCTAAGCACCGTGTAAAGGCGCCAATCCGACTTGTTGTACTATATGTGTTGTGGCGCATATACCGAAAGTAAGTGAGCGTGTGAATAAACGGAAAAAAAGACAAACAAACAAACAATGTGCCAAAGCGTTTTTCTCACGTGTACTTTACTATGTGTAGAATTTTCCTTTGAGAGAAATAAAAATAAAATAAAATGCACTCAAACGACAAAGTGTGAAGGGACGTCGTACATTCGGGCAAGTGTGATACCGCGAGACGTGGGCGACCGATGGGGATAATCACGTCGGGTCATCGCCGAGACGGCCGTCGCTATCTCTTGTTCACCCTCTCGTATGCAATTCGTGTCGGCCACATACACCGGTGGCTGCGGACAAAGGGGACGGCGGAGAGGTTGAAAGTACGACGATCGTGTGTGTTGTCGGCACCGGGAAGGGGGTGACGGGGAGCCCATTCATTCGCCGGCCGGTGCTCGACCACACGTATACACACGCACGACGTCTCAGCGGTGTATACTTCACTGTCCGCGATAACAACAACAACAACAACAAATGTCACACGCAACAACACACGGGCACTGACAAAGCTAATAGAGTCAACGGCTTACCTTTGATTTTTTTTCTACTTGTGTTTTAAATTTTTTAAACTCCGACGGCGAAGGAGGCCTGAGATGAAGACCACTCGATCATCGTGAGTAACCACCGACTCACGGCCGCCGCAGGCATGCCAATGAACCACGTGTCAAAGTGCGTACGATACAACTACGAAAACTACAAACGCGAATTTCACAACTTTTCGTTTTCGATATTTTTGCGCTATTAACTTTTTGTTTTTTTTTTTTATTTTTCCATCAAATTTTTTCCAATCGATTTTTATATTAAAATTAATAATAATTTACTAATTAATTACGAACTGTTTTAATTACCGGCGGACTGTGTTCTGTCGACCGTCGTCGTGTAGTGCGTGTATGTGCGTGCCCGCGGCGGTTGCGACGGAGATGATGCGGTTGACGAGAGCCCGCGCGGCGGAACTATAGACAACTCAAAAACATGACTAGCAATAAACTACTAGGGGGTAAAAACCGAGAAAGTAAAATTGCATATTCGTACAGTTTAATGAGAGAGAGTGGGTCCCCCCGCCCAGCCTACCCGGCCTGGTCCGCCCACCCGCCCCCGCTCGCCCGCGGAACTACCGCGCGCGTTTGTAACCGGAATTCGCACCGCGCTCCTTCCGCCGGCCTGAAACGTGGACGGGAGGGGTAGGCAGCAACCCCTTGATAAGGGCACGCGCGAGAGGAGGGGATAAAAGCAAAAGAGAAAAAAATCATTAAATTCGTCCGCGCGCCCTTCGAAAGCGGCCGCCCCCCGTGCCGCGCCGCGCGCCCCGCTTAGGCCGCCGCGCATGTGCCGCTAAAAAATTTAATTCGTTTTAACACACTACTATAAATAGTGAACATTGTTATTCAACTTTCATTCCGTTTTGGTCCCCACTCGCACAGGATCCCGGGAATCCCTCCAACCCTTCTCACCCTTTCTTACTACCACCCTCCTGTCATTTCCTATCACTACTCCTGCTCGCACCTTGCCCACGGGTATCGAGCACTTCGGCGTTTTTCGTCCCCTTCACATGTATACATATTATATATGTATACTCGGCAGAGCAGCAACGGTTCGCCTGTCCGCCAGGCCTACTACTACCGCCGTCGATGCTAACCCTCCGACTTCCGTATCGTGCCTCCTTCCCTGTAGCCTACGACCAATGATAGAGCGGTGGCGGGGGTGTCGTTCTCTCATTTTACTAGGCAAATGTAATTTATGAGCGCCGAATCAATACCGAACGGTTCGGAGGCTGAGGGTCCTCGCGCCCGCGATCAGTGGCGGGGGAGCAGGTGCGGCGGTGGCGGCAAAGCAAAAGTATAGACCGATGGAAGAAAAGGAGGGGGAGCTGTAAAAAATGTAAACCTACCCAGATTTTCTCTGGAAAAACCGCCGCCGCCGAAACCCGGATGGCAGCGCGTACAGGACAAACGACGGTGGCGGCCGCGTTTCGGGCAGGTGATGGGAAGAGGAAGCCTTTTATACTGCCGTTTTTCTCCTCTTCGTTCACCGCTTAAAATATTATTCCGTTTTTCGTAAATCCTCGATTGCTTACTACCGCCCCCACCGCCACTTTATGATTTATTGCCAAGTAGCACTTCTCCAGTGTGTACTTTTGTAATATAATGTGCACCGTATTGCCGGAGGCATCGGTACTAATTCGCAATCACTAATTACGACGAGCAGACCAACAGCGGTGCACGTAATGACAATGAGGATCTACATAGTTCAAGTCGAGAGAGATTTCAATAAAAAATATATGAGAGAAAATTCTTTTGTTTATCACAACTTTAAAAAAACAATAATAATAGATTAAGGGTTGTTTACATGAAACACGGTGTACAATTTTCTTTACCATCGCTTAATGTACACGAGTAAGAATAAAAAATTGTTTTCGTGAGACAATTAAGTGCCACAAGGCGACCCTTGGAGAGGATTCCGAGTGAATAATGTGCATAACTTCATTCGCACAAATACCGGAAGTAAATTTAAAAGTATAAAACTAATTACAAAAATTAAGTTATTAATTGAAATTAGTAATTATTGGCAATTAATTAATTAATAATTAGTTCGTAATTAATTAATTGTTATTAATTAATTATAATTAGCGAAATTAATTAAAATATAAATTTTTTAATTTATTAATTCAAATAATGAATGATAATGACTAATTTCAATTTGAAAAATAATCAAATGATTATTTATTTAGCGCGATTATAAAAATTATTATAAATAACTATATCGTGTAACTGCGTCGTTAGTTGATCTAGTAGAATATATAACGTGCGTTTATTGTAAAAGCTGAAAATATATTTACCATAGGACATTTAATTTGTATGTAATCACACAAATGTATTGGAATATATCAGCGGTGTGTCTACATAATGAGTCACCCGGGGAAGTCGTCTTAGAGTTCCTCCGAGTCTTTTGGAGATGTCATAGTCAATGAACCCCATAGAACTCGAGTAAGATGGAAAAAAATGTTATTTTTGATTTACGTTCTTGCATCTATTTAAGTTGTAAGCGTTTAAAGACAGACATTATTTTCTGAGTGAGCTTAAAAATGATTATTTCGACCAAAAATAAATTCTAGGTGGCCATCAAATAGAAACTGCCGGGGAATGTTTTAAACTCTTAATAAGCCACTGGGATATATCGTTGGATATTTATCCGGGTGATGGATAAATAAAAGTTCGCTAATGCGTAGCCTATTATTATGTTAATTCAACTTAAGTATTCCACGTATGCACTTTCATAATACAACAAGTCATGCAATTCGAAATTCATTGAAATTAGAAATTTTTTCAGCAATTATTTCAATTTCCGTGAATAAATAATCAAATAAATAGTAAAGTAACGTACAAAAAAAAAAAATAAACAAATTAATAAAAGATAAAGGAAAATCAATTATAATTAATTATACATTTAAGGAATGCGATGAGTTTTATTCTACTTTTCGTTGCATATATTTTGAATTCAAATAAACACTAAACCAATGTTTATGCGAACGTATGAAAAAGTTATTAATTATTCACTAACGAAGAAACGATAAACTATCTAGTTTCGTAAAAAAAAAAACTGTATTTACTGCTATTTGTATTTTTTTCGTCTAGAAACATAAAATTATCATCAATTGCTTATTAGTTGCATTTTGCTATGTACACAGCTGTTCTGTTTATCACGAGAAAATATTTTGTTTTTTTCAATAAAATTGATTTTGAAATTGTCAGCGTATGTAATAACATTTTATCTGCTTGTTATGATTACAGTTGTGCATAGAAAGATGAATATTATTATATAATTTATTATAATGTTCATGTTGCCACGTACAGTAGAGTAATGATATATGAAGTATATCATTACTATTATTGTATGATGGTCAGGTATTGCAAGTGCATTTTAAAAATATTCATGTCAAGTATACAACTTTCAAACAAATTAAAAGGTCACGGTGTAAAAAGTGAATAGTATTTTTTTTTGAAAAAATTAACTCTTCGAATAAAATATACAACTCGTTATGATTGTATATTCTGCGGACGCCAATTAATCCGAAAATTGGCAAAGTACAAATGTAAATTTCGCATTAATATTAAAACACTAACGTCAGACGATTAGATAAAAGTCATCGGTTTGACTTTTGTTATTTTGTGTTGCAAATAAATAATTATCGGCATTAGGATCTGTTCGGCAACGTCCGGGTAAATACACGACGAAGGCGAGCAGAATTTCGTACAATTTTTTTTATGTTGTCCGTTACGCCAGTTCAAATAAATATATATATATATTTTTTTGCGGTCCGCATGTGAACGTTGCGCGGCGCAACATTTTTTTGACCGTCTGTGTTTCAATCATCTCTTTCAATAATTCATCGGCGTACCCAATTATTTTAATGTCGTGAGACGCGCTATCGTTTGTCGATCCAAACGACTCGGCACACGATGTTATTAAAATCAGCACGCGGCGTTCTGCTCGTACAGAAATGTAACGCAAATATTAAAAAAAAAAAAATCGGCCGAGACGAAGCACATAATAATTCGGCGCGCTGCGGAAATTCGAGGTCTATGTGCAAGAAGGGTGAGAATAAATCGATAATTAG